ATCCTCTCCCTATTGAATTCCCTGGGGAATCTTTGTTTAAAAATCAGTTGGCCGTATATATGTGGGTCTAATTCTGTCCAGTTGATCTTTATGTTTATCATTTCCCTAACACATTATCTAGAAACCAGTACCTTTACTTACGTCTTGGAATCAGGTAATTGTACTTACAATTTTCTTCTTTGATTTTTTTCATCAGTATAAAGATCTTGTACATATTTTGAAATATACATTAAAAAACATGTCTTTTTAGTACTATTGCATATGACACTTTAATTTTTTTTAGTTTCCAATTGTCCATTGTTTTGTGCATTGACTTAGATCCCACCATCTATTAGTTATAACAGCGTTTTGGTAGGTTCATTGAGATGTTTTTTTCATAAATCATTATATTGAGACTAGAGAAAGGTTTTTTCTTTCTTATTTTCTAATCTGCTTTTTATTTTTATTTTTCTTGCCTTATTGTATTGGTTATAATCAGAGAACATATTTTGTATAGTTTCAGTTCATTTAAATTTGTAATGGCTTTTTAAGCCCCCCTAAATATCATCTATCCAAGTTAATTTTTTATGTATACATGAAAAACCCAACCTGTTGTTGGGTGTAATAGTCTATAAATGTCAATTAGGTCAATCAAGATGGTTGACAGAGTTGCTTCAAGTCTTCTATATACACAAGGATGTTCTTTCTGTCTGCTTGTTCTATTAATTACTGAAGGAGGAGTGCTGAAGTGTCTAAATATGAGTGTGGATTTGCTTAGTTGTCCTTTCAGTTCTCTCCATGTTTACTTCATGTATTTTAAAGCTATGTTGTGGGGGTATCCACATTTCAAATTTTGCTATCTTGTGGGTGAACTGACCTCTATGTTTTTCTCTTTGGGGAGAGGGCTGAGGAATAAGTGCAGGACTGCCCATTTTCTTTGGCTTTATTTTGTTGTTCAGTTGCTATCTTCTTAAACTGAATACCAAGCTCATTCAAGAAGGAAGATGAAATGTGATCCTATAAATATGTCTTTGTTGAAAAAGTATGTGATGTCAGTTAAGTCACATATGCTCTCTCTTCTGGTCATCAAAATTCTGATATTTAACATCAAGTATTTCTAAAAGTAGAAGGTATTTTTTTCAAGTAGGTTTTACTGAAATAAAAGCTGTTCCGTTGTTTTACTTTACATGCATTTTAGTGTTTTCTACACTTTGACAATTTAAGATCTAATTTGCACTGATGCCAAAGTGCTAAGTATTTATCAACATGTTTTACATGGATTTTTCATTCATCAACTTTCTGCCCTTTAGAACACAGTCCCCCAGCTGCTTCACTCTACTGAGATCCACTCAGTAAAGACGTCAAATGAAAGCGATATACTATTTACAGCTTGCCCACATGCACTATACATCAGATAAAAAGTTGCGATGCAGATCCAAAGGATGATTTGGAAATTACTAAGCAGCTTCAACTAAGTAAGTGACCTACTTATAGATCAAGAGTAAGTGGAGGAATGCAAATGAGTTAAAGCAAAGAGTGTACAAGCAGAATACAATCTTCTCGGTAGACTTGATGATAGCCTGTACTTTTTAAAAAAGTGATTCTTTACAATTGCTGGAAAAGCCTCTAATGCAGTGGCTCTCGACCTTCCTAATGCCGCGACCCTGTAATACAGTTCCTCATGTTGTGGTGACCCCCAACCATAAAATTATTTTTGTTGCTACTTCATAACTGTAATTTTGCTACTGTTATGAATCGTAATGTAAATATCTGATATGCAGGATGTATTTTCATTGTTACAAAATGAACATAATTAAAGCATAGTGATTAATCACAAAAACGATATGTAATTATATATGTGTTTTCCAATGGTCTTAGGCGAGCCTTGTGAAAGGGTCGTTCGACCCCCAAAGCGGTTGTGACCCACAGGTTGGCGACCCACAGGTTGAGAACCGCTGCTCTAATTCTTTTCTTCTCTATTCCCTATCAAATTTGTTATCTAGTTCCTGACTTTTCCTTTGTCCAAAACACCATTCCCATTCCATTTACTCTCAGCTAATAATCAGACTTCTTACCTTACAAAGAAGAGTAAGGCCAACTGATATGCTCCATCAACTTCCCTTTGCTCTACCTCTAGTTTTTCTCTATATTTGCACAATGACTAAGGGATATGACTCTTTCTGTCACTGTCTTTGTCCAAGTATATCTCTCCCAGTCTTCAATAAGGTTAGCCCTGTCACTGAGTGCCAATCTCCTCTCTCTGCACCCCACCAACATACACTCCAGCGTCTACTTCATGCCCAAGGTGTATGATATGCCCACTTACCTTTTAAACATTTTTTAAGGACCTACCAAGTGCTAGTCGCTGAATTACTATGATAAAGAAAGTTAAATAAATATCCATTCCTCCTTTTAGAAAATTCACAAACTTGTGGGAAAAGATAAATAGTTTCAAAAACAATTACAATTGGTGTAATAAAAGCAAAGGCGTATACAGTATAATCATGGTATAAAGGAAAGATAACAATGGTTACAGAAGGATTTTTTTTTAATATACATAGATCTTTATCAGGCCCACCCTCTCTGATGGGTTTTCTTCTTTTTCTGCAAATAGGCTCAGGTTTCCTCTAGCCTTAAACACACAAAACACCCATGACACTTAAATTAATATTGCTGTCATTCACTTTTACTCTCAATCCACAAATCCAATCCACTGTTTTTTATCCTTCATCTTTCAACTGTGGTCTTGGTTTCCACCATTACATCGACACCTCTCACCAAATCCAAGTTGAGTAATCCACTCAACATATCATCTTTCTTTCCTGGTCCTTATAAGTCTCCCAGCTATAAAGGACTATTATACCCTCTTCTCCAAATTCTCTCCTTGCCTTTTGTGATACTTTACTTCCCTAATGTATTACCTCCCTCTCCATTCAATGCCAATCAGTCTTCACAGATTCCACTTCCTTCTGTGGCCTGACAAAGGGAAGCTTTAGCCAGAATTCCATTTCGAGATGTGATTTTTGACTCCCTACATCCTCTCTCCACTATTTTGTTCTCCCTCTCTGCCACAGAAAATTCATGATAGCAGTGCTATAGTAACCTGGGATTGAGAAAAATAATCATGAAGTTAGAAGGCCTGGCTTCAGTTTCTGTTCTGCCACTGACTTACTATCTGTGTACCATGGGCATGTCACATCCTATGACTCCATAAAAGAGAATGGCTTTCTAATTAAGGTTCCTTCCAAGCTCACAGTTCTACAATTTCAACTGGAAAGAACATCAGATTTTTAATTCTAACTTTAATGTACTACAAATCCACATTCTGTCTGCCATTTACATGTCCCACCTCTAAAACTAATCTCTTTAACCAACTAGTTCTTTTAAGTTTCCCACTAACATTTATGTACTTGTGACCATTATTTTAAACGTGAAACCCTAATAATATTATGCACATACTGCCTTCTATTCATGCATTCTCTCTTCCTGATTCCCAACCCCCCTTCAAGGCTCAACTCAAAGAGAATCTCTTCCAGAAAGTGTTTCATGGCCTCTCCCGCTGCTTATAGTATCCCACTTCTTCAGAAGACCCAAGATATTCTATGTATACAATAGTCCCCCCAACACCACCACCAATTACCTGTGGTTTCAGTTACAGCAGTCAAAAGTGGTCCGAAAACAGGAAATTTCACCAACCATCAACATAGTCTGCTCCTGACACCGACACTGTCATGGCTTCAAAACCCAGGACTACCCAAAGCAGATGATCCTTCTTCTGACGTATAGTCGGAAGGTCAATAGCAGCTTAAAGTTATGCCTATGTCATTCACCTCACTTCATCTTATCATGTAGACATTTTATCAGCTCACATCATCACAAGAAGAAGGGTGAGTATAGTACAGTTAAGATATTTTGGGAGAAAGAATCCACATTCACATAACTTTTATTGTAGTATATTGTTATAATTGCTCTATATTATTAGGTATTATTGTTAATTTCCCACTGTGCCTAATTTTATAAATTAAACTCTAGTGTAGGTATGTACGTACAGGAAAAACCATAGTATTTACTGAAGGGTTTGATACTATCTGCGATATCAGGCATCCACTGGGAGTCTCGGAACATATCCCCTGCAGGGAAGCGGGCAGTGCTGGACTCCCAACACTTGGCAAGTTCCCCTCCAGACTCTGGCTCTGTAGAAGCAGGTTTAAAACCCTAACAGTTTTAACTCTGGTGCCGTGTCACATATAGAAATTTTTTGATATTTGCAACCATAGTAAAACAGAGACTTATATTTTTGATATTTATTTTATATATTTAAATACCATTTAACAAAGAAAAATCAACCAAAAAAATGAGTTCGTGTGTCACCTCTGACACACGTGTCACAGGTTCGCCATCGCTGCTATAGACAGTAATCTTTGCAGTGTCACTAGTTTTTAAAAGTGTATTTACTAAAAAGTATACTCCTAAATAGTTGGTTTTATATTGGAGCATTTTTTAAAATCTAAATTGTTTATGTCAAGACAATGTGTTTCATAGACCTAGTGAACTAACATTAGAACTGGAGATTTAACATAGCAACGGTGATGCTTAGCAGAACATTTAGCCAGCACACATTGCATCATCTTCTGCTCTAACCTACATGTGGCATAGCAGACAATTTTCAAAATGAAATAAGATGTCATTAATTTTCAGCTTCATTAATAAGCTTCAATGCATTCCTCTAAAAATTGTTTCAATGCCCTCAATTGCGATAGCAAGACAAATTGAGAGAAATAAAGATTTCCAGCTTCCTTATTACCAAGAAACATAAAAATGCAGCCTAGCAGACGAAAGAACCAGAATTTCCAAGCACTCTACACCAGAAAAGTCAAGGCTTTAGCTTAACTCACCTGGAAGGCAGGGTGTCTGCGTGAGGCCTGACAGTAGTACACAGCATCGCTGCAAGGACGTTAAATGAAACTGAGAGAACTGTCTGGCACCTCATTACCGAAGAGGCAGAGCAGACTCTGACCTACCTGGCTTATCCCTCCGGGAGAGATCTTGTATGACTGCAACTTCTGCTTCAGCAGCTCAGGATCACTGTGACGGAATGGGCACCCTGACAACAAAAAACAGGCCGGCACACCAACAAGGTTATTTACTCAGGACTTAGTACAGAGCCACACTCGAGAGACTGTCTAAGCTGCCCTTAATTGGCTAACAGCTTATTAATAAAAAAGTTAATTGCCCATGAGTGCAACTGCGTTCCTCTCTTTATCTAAATGACGGCTTCGCTGTACGGTTATCAGGGTACCACAGGCTCAAGAGTTACATAAAACACTGCACCATTCTCAGGCTCGGCTGCTCATTCACTGGGAAGAAACAGTTTTAATTGTGCTACTTGCTAATAAGCAGAGATAATCACAAAGTAGCTATAAAATAGTTTCTCTAAAAACTTTATATTATCACACATTTTTTTCTAAAGAATTACTTAAAAGACATACTATAGAAGGAGGAGAGTGTAGACAAAAAGAAAAATGCGCAAATGTTAAGAAATATAAAAATTTTCAGATGTAAATTCTATACCCATTTCCCATTGTGTAGAAACAATATAAATTTAGATGAATCACAGATGGGAATGAGATGCACAAATAAGGAACTGTTTCATAGAAAAACAAATTATAGTAGATACATGTCATCTCTAGACTATTTCACAAGAATGATAAAGTTGGACTACTAAACATTTGCTTAAACAAAAACACAAAAGAATTGAAATGTAAAAGCTATCTTAGGCCAAAATTTAGACAATTTTAGATATTTTAATAAGAAACTGCAATGATAGGTCAAAATACTTAGTTTGACATTTAATACAGGATGCCAGATAGTTTTTCAATCATAGAGATGATAGATCTATAAATTAATTAGAAACAATTGTGCATTTTTAACAATAGGAAATTGGTTGGAACAAAAATAATGGAAAGGAGTCTACAGGTCAAACAAATATGTTTCCCAAAAATCTTAACTCTTAAATAAAAACACCCATGATAACACTATGGACTCCTACAAATTACGAAATTCACAAAATGCATAGTATATACTTTATTCAGTTTAAAATCATAGTTATTTTTAGTACAAGGAAATATCTTGAGAAGCTGTGTAGCACACAGTTGAAAGTTTGGATTTGAGTTTAAGTTACAAGTTAAGAGACTTAGACAAATTTTGTATCTTTATGTTGACTCAGCTTCCCTTTCTCAAGTGAGGGAAATACTCACTGAGCTCTTGTGGGAACAGACTATAAAGGCTCTAAAGGTGAAAGTAGATAAAATGCAAGAACAGATGTGTAATATGAGCAAAACGGGATATTCTAAAGAGAATCAAAAAGAGATAAAAACCACTAATGGAAATGAAGAATGCCTTTGATGGGCTTATTAATTGACATGGCTGAGGAAAGACTCTCTGAATTTGAGGATATGGAAATAAAACTTCCAAAACTGAAAAAAGAGAGACTAAAAAAAAAACCCCACTCAAAATAAGAATTGAATATCCAAGAACTATAGGACAACTATGAAAAATGTAACATACAACCAATGTAAAACCAGAAGGAGAAGAGAGAAAGGAATAGCAGCAACATTTGAAGCAATAATGACAGAGAATTTCCCTCAAATTAATGGCAGACACCAAACCAGAGACCCAGGAAGCTCAGAGAACACCAAGAGGAATAAATGCCAAAAAGATACATCTATACATAATCATGTCCATATTTCAAAAAATCAAAATAAAGAAAAAATTATTGAAAAAAGCCAGAGAAAATAAACACCTTAGCTATAAAGGAGCAAAGATAACAATACAACTAACTTATTCTTAGAAAGCATGCAAACAAGAAGAGAGTAGAGAAGTGTTGAGAGAAAAACTCCCACAAACTTAGATTCCTGTACCCTGGTACATTATCATTCAAAAGAGGAGAAATAGATTTTCTCAGAGAAACAAAATTGAGGTAATTTGTTGCCAGTAGACCTACATTGCAAGAAATGTTAAAGGAAGTTCTTCAAAGAAAAAGAAAATGGCATAGACCTGAAACAGAATTATATAAAAAACAATTATATTACTCAAACAATGCTAAGGAAAAATAAAATGTTTGTCTTCTTTTTTATTTTAAATCCTCACTTCAGGAGATGTTTGTTGTATTGATTTTATAGAGAGAGTAAGGAGAGAGGGAGAGGGAGAGGGAGAGGGAGAGGGAGAGAGAGAGAGAGAGAGAGAGAGAGACATCAATGTGAGAGAGAAACATATCAGTT